ATGTATCACCTGTCTTGAATCTGAAAATATTTCTGTGAATAACTCAAATTACACAGAGAGTTTTGCATGAACTCTATCAGGTACCCATGTAAACTAGATCAAATTTTCAACACTAAGACAGAGAGCCATACAAAAAGCAAATCTCTGCATTTTCCAAATCTGCTGTACTCAGGTGACTATATTGCACTATTTTGATAGAGAATGTTTTCATTTCTAGATTTTTCTGTCAAATAATAAATCTGAATATCACACATTGAAAAATGAAAATAAAAATTTTAAACTACACAACTTTTTAATATTTGCTAATTAAGTGCTTTCCTTTACTTCGGTTTAGATATTTCTGACATGTACTTATATTTATATGCACATTAATTTTTCTCTTATGCATACATAAAACAAAAATCCATGCTAATAGAATGGTATGTGTTTTGTTAGACATCTCCTTTTGAAACTCAACCTATTTGCCAATTTTCAGATACATTTCAGAGTTTTACACACTGGAGTTTGTCTCATACATAGTATATCTTTAAATGAACATGAATATTAAATAGCATAATATTCCTGAATATTAATTTACCTGTTTAATAGTATACATCTATGTATTCTTTGCTATTTTTTAGTATTAGGGAACAAATGCTTGAGACCTCAAGCATACTTCACTGTGAGTGAGCAAGCAAATCTTTAGTAACAAGATTTAAATAAGAACTAAGATACAAACTGTGCACATTATTGTTTTCGTAATTTTCTTCCAAACTTCTTTATACAGCCATTAAAATTCTATTCTCAAAAACATTTGGCATTATTAAAAGGTTATGGCAAAAATATGCTAATAATGTGTTCATTAGCTTTTCCATTTTTAATTAATGAGATGAAGCACAATTTAATTGATCATTTTATCCCCTCTTCTTTATACTATTTCCATAATCGTCTTCCAATTACATAATGAAGTTGCTTTCATTTTCTTTATTTGTTTTGAAGCAATGAGTTTTATATCATAGACATCAATTTTCTCTGAGATATGCATGTGTCCCTTCAGTCTGTTGTATATCTTAACAATATTTATAGTCAATTTGAGTTGGTTTCTGATGTGATTATAAAGAACTTTAATTTTTGGTCTTACTCTTAATGACTTTAGTTTTTCCTACTGCCAAGTCACAAGTGTTGCATACTAATTCCTTCTAATTTTTGGCTTTTCCTTGTCAATCTTTCAAAGCAATGTGTTTCAGCTCACATTTTCATGTGGTATTTAAAAACTTTGCTTCCCTTCTAAAAAACAGGAAAGTACTAATCTTAATTGTCCCAATTACTAGGTTGTAACAATAAATATGAAGAATATTCATTTATTGGCAAGATTAACTGATTTAATGGAGAGAATTCACACAGAATAGTGTCTGGGAAGTGTAGGAAAATATTACCTACAACATATTTACTGCTGTAAAATTTTCCAATGTCTTGCTTGACTTCTGATATGTATTACAAAATTTAAATTAAATTGACATATGTATCTGGATCTTATCAATGTTATTTATCCTAAAATTGTATTCTAAGTCACAAAAAATAGTGTAGCTAAATCTGAAGTTTAAAAAAGATTTTAGCTGAAAGACAAAGTAAATGGTTAAAGATTAAACATTAAATGGTGATACAATGATCATGCTCTGAAGTCTTAATAATTTGAAATACATTACTTTCTCTTTATAATATTAAATACATAAAATGATATTAAATATTTTCTCAATGTTCTTCACGATAAACATATTTAAAATACCATATGAATATGTCTTTGAAGGTTTTAGCATATTAGTATTAATAGTCAGCAGTACTCTTTACATATTCTGTACTTGACATCTGGAAAGTTCATGATCATATTCCCCAAGCAACTGATGAAAATTTAGCAAAAGAACCACCCAACAATCATGGCAAAAGTATGACATTTTTATAGATGGGGATCCAATTCAATATCAACAAAACTACTGTTCTTTGGAAACAGTGCCTTTCATTATTTTCTGTGACATTGGCACACTTGAGTCTCTATTGATTTAAGTGTGAAACCATTGAAATATTGGCTAAATTGGACAATAGATGAGCTTAATATTCATATAAAAACAGAGACTGAACTATGTTTTCCGAATCACTGTTGTGTTTTGCTGCTTTTCCTGTTGTTGTGACTTTGTTGTTTTTTTTTTTCATTTGTTTGATTTATCCTATTACTCACTGGCACCCGGATAGTCAACACATATGGTAATGTTCAATAAATGTCACTTCTCATATTATGTTTTTCTCTTCCTTTTTTAATTTAAGTTAGAAACAAGCTAGCTTCATATGTCAATCCCAACTCCCTCTCCCTACCCTCCTCCCCCGCTCCCCTCAACCAGGTCCCCCATTCCCCCACCCAATCGCCATGCCCATCCCCAGGGAAAGTGAGGCCCTCCATGGAGGATCTCTAGAGTCTGTCATTTCATCCAGGGCAGGGCCTAGGCCTTCCCCCAAAAATCCAGGTTGAAACAGCATTCCTCATTGTGGGATGGGCAGCAAAATCTATTTGTATGCCAGGGATAAATACTACCCAAGGCCCCATAGATTATGTAGGCCTCCTCACTGACACCCACATTCAAGGGATCAGGGTCAGTTCCATGTACAGTCATGCTTGTCCACTGAAACATGCTAAGAGAAATAATGCACCCATTCTTTGCTATAGTAAGAACAAACATAAACTATAATATCCCAAATGTACCCCATTTTTTTCTACCCACACTTTAGGTGAGAAGCATCTATGATGCTTCCGGGTCATTAGAGATGCTGCCACTATGAACATAATGGAACAGAGGTCCATGTTGTATGAATGGGCTTCTTTTGGGTATATGCCTAAGAGTGGATTTGCTGCATCTTGTGGAAGACTGATTCCCAATTTCCTGAGGAGTCTCCATACAGATTTACAAAGTGTCTGTATGATGTGGCACTCCCACATGCAGTGGAGGAGTATACCCCTCTCTCCACATCTTCTCCATAAATTGTAATTAGTGTTTTTGATTTTAGCCATACTGACAGGAGGGAGATGGTATCTCAGAGTTGTTTAATTTGCATTTCCCTTACGGATAAGGGTGTTGAGCACTTTCTCAAGTGCCTCTCAGTCATAAATCCCTAACACAAAATATCTTTACTCATTTTTAATGCATGTGTGTTTGTTTAATACTTGTATTTCATAAAACACCTACAGTTTTCAAAGTGACTATTGTTAAATGCAAAATGAGATTAATTCTTATGATTATAATATAATATAATAATATATTCTTTTCACTCAATAAGAAATATAGAAATACAAAATTCTGAACATTTTAGTTTGGAATAGTAGATACTATATGTGAAATATAACATAAATATTTTATAATATCAGAGCTAGTCATTGTATTTTGAAGTTATTTTGATACGGATGTGCTCTATTTGAGAACTATACTAAGTCATTATGTAATAGAGTGATAGATTCTGTATCTCAACATACTTTTTCATAAGGAATATAAATTCAGCAGGTGGAGATGTGATTTGGAAGTTAAGGGCACTAACTGGTTAATCAGAGGACCCAGGTTTTATTCTCAGTATCTGAATGGTAGCTTACAACCATCAATAACTCTAATTTAAAGGGGGAACTCAATCCTTCTCCTGTATTCCTCTACTATCAAGCATGCACATGGTACACAGACATATATTCAGGTATATCATTCCTATATATGTTTTTTAAGAAATGAAAATAAATTGAATTTAAAATTGAATGTTGAGATTTCTCTATTTAGTTCTGTACCCCACTTTTTAATTGGATCCTTTGGTATTTTGGAGACTTGCTTCTTGACTTCTCTGTAAATTTTGGAGATCAGCCCTCTGTCAAATGCGGGGTTAGTGAATGTTTTCCAATTCTGTGGGCTGCCTATTTGTCTTGTTGACTGTGTCTTCTTGTGAGATTCCTGTCCTGGTTCTGTTGTCACTTTAGCCCCTAAATAACACAGGAGACACTCTATTAGTTATGAAGCTGTTGGCCATTTGCTATGGTTGTAATCAGCTAGCTCTGACTTAATTATTTACCTATAATCACTCATATGTATTTTCATAAGGTCTTATCTTACAGAGAATGTAGACTTGCATCCTCTTCCTGGGAAGACCACATAGTGACCAGTCTCTTCACTACATTTCCCAGAATCCTCCTAGGCTCCTAGTCCCACCTATATTCTTTCCCTATTGGCCAACAATGCTTTATTGTCATATGCACAGAAAGACTTCCCACATCAGTGTCCTTTGCCTTACAGAAGTTCTCAGTTTCAGGATGTGCCAGTTATTAATTGTTGATCTCAGTGTCTGTGCAACTGGTGTTATTTTCAGGAAGCAGGACTCCTGTACCAATTCGTTCAAGGGTATCTCCCTCTCTTCTAAGAGGTTCAGTATGGCTGGGTTGAGGTCTTTGATCCATTTGAACTCAAGTTTTGTGCATGGCGATAGACATGGATCTATCTGCAGTCTTCTACATCTCAGCATCCAGTTATGCCAGCACCATTTGTGGAAGATGCTTTCTTTTTTCCATTGTATAGTGTTAGGAGCCAATCTCAGATGGCCACCTAGGACATACAGAACTTTTGGCTACAGGACGAAGCTGATTAGAACAGTTATTCAGCCAGTTCTTAGAAACCTTATAGTTGCCCTTAAGAAGAAACAAACCTCCCCTATCATGCTCAACCCCAGAGGCTAAACACACCCTTAGGCTAGGCACAGGGCACAGTTATATGGCAACCTTTCCTGCACTGTTTGCACCCTGCCAGACATCCTCCTTTTGTGGTCTTCTAACATCCTGCCTTCCTTGCAGCTACATGACAAGTACCCCCAAAAACCTACGTCCTCTAAACCTGCTTAACCAACTATATAGCTAGCCCAGTAGAAAAATAAAATTGCCACTTGTTCAGAATCCTGTCTTGTGACCTCTTCTCTCGTACCTCCTGCCCCACTATTTTCATTCCTCATAGGTCTCCAATTCATGTTCCCAGCTGGACTGGAACAACATGTGACTGAACGGGGACTACGAAGGCCAGCGAGGAAGCATGCAGTGCTCTCTGTAAGGGTAAGGCCTGACCATGCATTTGGAAAGCCCCGCGGCATCACAGAGAGGGGAATCCAGGAGAAGATGTCCATGCTCACCTTACCCAGGGACTGGATCTTCAGAATTGAGAGCACCACCTCGGGAAGGAGGTGAGTCATGGGGCAGGCATTTAGTAAAGAGGAACCTTTCCTATGTGGGATTAAAGAATCCCTCAATTCTTTAGGGTTAAAAAGAAACAGCTCAGGAAATTTATTTTCATGGGAGATACTTGTCCTTGGTTCCTCCAAGAGGGAACAATTAATAGTCAAAAATGGAGAAGGTGGGACATACCCTCCAGCACTATGACAAGACCTTTGGCCCTGAAAAAATCCTTGTGGAGGCTTTTAACTATTGGAACCTCATCAACGATATCCTCCGTGTCCATGACCACAACCCAACCCTCCAACCTTTAGTTAAAGAGGGAGAAAAAAAACCTTAAAAGATACTCTCGCTAAAACATCCCACAGCTCACCCCCCAGATCTCTCGTTTCTCCAGTCCTAGTCCTTTCCATCACACTTTAAAGTTGGGTAATAGGTCATCTCTCCCTAACGAGAACGATTGCAAGCCCGTCTCATCTACGTGTCCCGAGATAAAATTTGAAATATCTCCACCTCTCCCTGAAACACCAAAAATATCCTCCATTTATCCCATCCTTAACACCCCCAATAAAGAACCACTTGACCCCGGTGATACTGCCACCCTTGAGGAAGAGACTTCCAGATATTACAACTCTGACTGGTTTCTGCTCAATTCCCCCTCAAAAAACTCCCTGCGCACCACCCCCCATCCCTCCACTCTGGCTGACACCGTCCTACAAGGACCACTTATGAATCTCTACTCGCAGACATCCTTTGACTCAGCACACCTTAAAACTCTCATCACTAACCGCCAGCAACAAATCCAACTCCAGACCCAACTGCGGGACCTCGACTCCCGGTTATCCTCTTTAGCCCTGGCACCTTTCCCTGCACTGTCAAAAAACGAAAAGACCAAAGACCTCAGGCTCACTCCTGGCCTTCCCACTCACCCTTCAAAGCAGCAGCCAAGTCCCCTCTGCCCCAGAACCAGAGGGCGATTCTGAGGAGGAACACAGGCCCCTGTCCCAGCCCTGTCAGGAGCTCCGCCTAGAGACCCTACTCCCACCTACCCACTCCCCATGAAATATACATACTTAGACCTGAAGTCATTGAAAAATTAAAAACTGATGTCTCCAACTGTGGCCCAACTGCCTCTTTTACTTTCGCCCTCTTGGAGATTATCACTGAAGCCTGGCTCACCCCTAATGAATGGCATCATTTGGCTCAGGCCATCCTTTCCGTGGATGATTTTTTTTTCCTTTGGAAGTCAGAACTATCCCCTGACATGGCAACAAAAAACCAGTCACATGCAGACTCCAGGACTTGTACTACAGACAAAACTTTAAGTGATTCCCCTCATCAAACCCTAGAAGCTCAAGCTACTTTTCCCATGAGACTGCTGGCACAATTTGGCCGAGGCGGGCTAGGTGCTTGGCACAAACTTCCCCCTAAGGGAACTACTTCTACCTCTCTGCCTAAAATTATCCAAGACCCTGAGGAGCCCTACAGTGCCTTCATAAGCAGACTCATAGAAACGGCTGAACACCTCTTCGGAGCTCCTGACCCTAAAAACCCATTTATTAAACAACTAGCCTTTGAAAGTTTTAACCCAGCTGTCACGGCATCCTAAAACATCATAAAAAGGAGCCTCTATCTACTTACATCCGCCTTTGTGCTGGTACCGGTTCTAGCAATGCCACTCGGCCTTGCTATAGGTGCTGCCTTACAAAAGGCCGGCCTCGCCCCCAATACTTCAATAATTTGCTTTAACTGTAAAAAACCTGGCCACTTTGCAAAAGAATACCCATAGCCTAAACCTTCTCAAGTCAGGATCACCAAGCCCATAGACGCCACTTCTAGTCCTCTCCCTCCAGATCATCACCATCGATCCAGTGCCCCATGCGTTAGATGCCTCCATGGCACCCACTGGTGCAATGAGTGCCGTTCTGCCACCAGTATCTATGGGCAGCCGCTACCCACTCAGGGGTCAGGAAACTCCTCTAGGGTGTCTTAGTAGCCTCGAGTTTACTCTAGGAACTTTTACAGGCTGGAAATATCATCCCTCCAACTCTCCTTGGAACACCCCTATTTTTGTAATTAACAAAAAATCTGGAAAATGGACACTCTTACAAGATCTCCATGCTATTAACAAAATCATGTTTCCAATGGGGGTCCTTCAAACAGGCCTTCCCTCCCCCACGGTCATCCCCCATGGATACTATAAAATAATCAGATTTGAAATACTGCATTTTCACCATCCCATTACACCTTGAGGATGGACACTACTTTGCATTCAACCTCCCCAAGATAAACTCCGAAGGACACATGCCATGCCCTCAGGTATGGTCAATAGCCCCACCTTGACCCAAATATTTGTATCCCAAGTCATCACCCCCATTCATAAACATGGCCTCAAATTTATATTCCTCACTATATGGATGATATCCTTTTTGGTGCCTCTACTAAAGAAGAAGGCTTGTAAAGCCTCTTTGACCTCAAACAATCCCTCACAACATTCAACCTTGTAATAGCCCAGGAAAAATTCAGTTACAAGACTATGGCTATGAACTTAGAGGACAACAGATCTTTACTCCGGAAATCTCAATTCAACCATCCTCCTTAAAGACACTCCATGACTTACAACAATTTCTAGGAAAACTTCAATTCCTCCACCCTTAACTCTGCCTTCCCCTAGACTCATTAAAGCCCCTGATGGACCTACAACCCATAGATGCCCATCCCCTCTTCCCTTGCCGGCTAAAGCCCATCATACCCTTCTCACCATCGAACAAGCTATATCAAAACAAGCCTCCTTTCAAATCTGCCTTAAATTTCCACTCCCTTTCATCGTTTGTGCGACCCCCTCAGACCCATTGGCTTATGTTGGCATCCTGACCACACACGGCATTCCAAAAGTCACCCCCTCTTCTGGGTGTCTTTGCCCATTTCTAACAACAAGGTTATCACTTCTTACCCAGAATTAATCACCTCCTTAATCACCAAAGCCAAGAAACTTAGTAAACAACATTATGGCAAAGAACCTAATAGCCTAATCATACCCTACAACTTAGACAAACTTCAAACCCTCCTACAAACCTCTGAATCCTGGACTATTGCTTGCTTAAACATCCCTGGAGACATTGATAATCATTACCCTAAGGAACTCCTTATATGGTTTGCCAGCCAGCATTCCTTTTTTTTCCCTATTGTTACCTCTTCCCAACCACTTTCCACCTCAAACACTGTTTTCACTGATGGCCCTTCCTCAGGGATAGCCGCCCTTGTACATAATGATCAAAGTTACTTTCAATACCCCCTATCAGTCTGCCCGATTAGTCAAGTTCTTTGCTGTCAAACAGGCATTTTCCCTACTCAAGGACACCCCCTTTAATCTCTATACAATCAGTCCCCTTGCTAGAGACCACCCCACTCATAAAACCCTACTCAATGGCAGATATCTTAGTCTTACATATCCAATCCCTTATACAACTCTGTCAAGTTCCTTTCAGATATGTCTGAGCCCATAATGGCTTGCCTGGACCCCTGGGGGATGGCAATGCCAAGGCAGATACTGCTACCTGCTACAATACCTGCTACAATAATCTCAGCCTTAACTACATTCAACCCTACGCCTACCCCCATCCAAGCCGCTGTGGATACACATGCCCTTCTCCACTTAAATACCCTAACCCTACACCAAATATTTAAAATTACTAGAGAACAAGCCAGAAAAACCATTAAAAAAACCACCCAGCCTGCCTTACATTGCTCTCCTCTCCACATTTAGGAGTTAATTCCCGAGGTATGCTTCCCAACTCTCTCTGGCAAATGGATGTCACCCATGCCCCCTCCTTTTCTAAGCTCAAATATGTCCATGTATCAATAGATACCTTCAGTGGCTACATCTTTTCCTCCCTACAAACAGGCGAGGCTATTAAAGACGTAATTACCCACATGCTAGTGGCCATGTAATCCTTAGGCAAGCCTACAAAAATAAAGACAGACAATGGTCATGGATATTTAAGCATAAAGTTAAAAAATTTCTGCTATAGCCTTCAAATTACCCATGTTAAGGGAATGCCCTATAATCCACAAATACAGGGTATTGTAGAACTGGCTAACCACACCATAAAAAACACACTTCACAGAGTAAAAGACACCATCCTCCCTCACAGCCAAAAATGGTCTGGACCCCGTCCTTATCTGGGGATGAGAGTCAGCCTGCATCTTTGACAAACAGTCAGACTTTCCCAGATGGCTACCAGAAAGACTCATAAAACAAATAAACTCCAAACCACCTAACCACAAGTGTAGAAGGGAGTCTAACTGCTCCCCTGAGACATAATTTTCTTCCACAGATACTACTAAAGATGAAGACAACCACAAGGCCTGCCAACTGCCCTCCTAACCACCTACCCCTCCCTCTCCTCCTAGCCTTGCTCTCCATTCTCACCTCACCTAGAATTATACTTGGATGGTCCTCTCAGACAAAGGAGAGCCAATCTGGGCCCAGTCACCTAAAGCCTGGATGGGACCATGGTGGCAGACAAACTTACACCTGATCTCTGCCACATTGTCTTGGGCTCAAAAATTGGGGCTGGAAAAAGAAATCTTCCCAACAGACCCAGCACCTGACCAGAGACAAAACAATCCTGAAGCTTATTGCACTGCCACAAAGAGCCTAGCTGCCTTGCAAGTCCCAACTATATGTTTGCCCCGGTACTCACAACCCAAAAGGACTGCTTCAAAAATGTGGTGGGTTCTCAAATTATTTCTGTCTATCCTGGGATTGTGAGGCCACAGGGGATGCCTATTGGATTCCCTCCTCTACTTGGGACTTCATTACTATAAAAGGCCTATTACAGCCATACTCAAAGGTATCCCACTTATCAAGATTGCAATGCAGCCCCTGATTGCCTTACTAACTCCCCCACAAAAGGCTGATGTCACCCCCTAGACATCCACCTTACAGACAGGGCCCTTTCCAAGACTTACCTGGGACTCCACCTATATGGAGGAAGCTACAATGACTCTGGTGTCCTCCTCATTATTAAGCTACTTAAACAACACCCAAATATAGATACCCCCAGAGCCATTGGACCCAATCCTATACTTCATGAATCAGGCCTCATTGCTCATAACCTCAAATAACCTTCCCCCAAAACCCCTGTTCCCATGCTTCTATCTACCCCCTTCTCCCCCTCTGACCCCACAGTTTCCCCCATACTTATATTCTACCACATGGAAACCTCAATCACTGCCTGGGTCCATGTTTCCGCCGTCAAGCAATGTCATCACTCAGCTGATTGTACATACCGTTCATACTCTCAACCAAAAAAAACCCATCCCTTACTACTGACTGTTGGCTTTGCTATCATTCCTCCCCACCATTTATGAAGGAATTGCAGTTCCAGATACCTATTATACAACTAACAACTCCCAATATTGCCAATGGGAGACACATGGCCAAGCAAAGATCACCCTGCAACAAGTTGTAGCATCTGGCCTCTGCATTACTCCTTCTTCCAACCCAACTCCACCTCCACACTATGTTTCCCTTTGCCACAAGACCCTATCACTAGGTACCCTTCATCCTGACCCATAAATCCACCTGTTGTGCTTGCGCGGATGGCCTTAGTCTCTGCTTAGCTACTACTAACCTTCAGTTTTCTGGTTTTTGTGTACTCGTACAAATGGTCCCATGCCTCTCATACTACTCCTCCACAGAATTCTTCCACTTTTGGGAATAAGGAACCCCGGCCTCCCCTAACAGACATCGCAGAGCATCATTTCTTCTAGGTTAGGGTGCTGTTGGATCAGGAACAGGGATTTCTTCCTTTGTGCTAGGTCAAAAACAATACACTATAGATAAAGATGTCAAGCAACTCCAAGATCAAATCCCAATTCTTAAAAGAAACCCTTAACTCTCTAGCAGATGTGGCCCTACAAAACAGATGTGGTTAGACTTGCGATTTTTACAAGGCAGCCTCTGCGCTGCCTTAAGAGAGAAATGTTGCTTTTATGTTAATAGGTCAGGAGTTATTAAATATAATATGGCTAAAGTCAGAGAGGGTTTAAGAAAATGCCAAGTAAAAAGGACTAAACAATAGTCATGGTATCAAAATTTGTTCCCTACCTCCCAATGGCTCACTACCCTTCTGCCCTCCATATTAGGACCATATCTAGAATTATTACTGCTTGTCTCTTTTAGGAATTGGACCTTCTCCAAGCTTGTGTCCCGAATTAAACAACAGGTCGACTTGCCTACTCAACCTGTTCTGGTCCAATATCACTGTCTGGCAACTGATGACATTAGCCTTATAAACTCCCAGGCTGTTCAAGAAGGTTCCTCTCTGCTGGGATGCTTGCCATGCTCCTAAACATAAATCGTTCTTGGGCATCGGAGTACACACCTAACAGCAAAGGACTCCCCCAACTCCTGAGAGTTTAGAGAGTATGTCTACACCCAAAATTCCCCTTCCCCAACAAAAGGTGTCTTGGGTTGCCATTGGTGGATATCCCCTCCCAGTCGTAAGGCTCCCACAACAAAAAATATGGGGTCAGACCTCTACTTCCCCCAGCCCAATCTGATATTTCTAAATGAAAAAAAGGAATATGTTGCGAGCCAGTAGCTATCCCAGCAGAAAAATAAAATTGCCACTTGATCTGAGTTCTGTCTTGTGGTCTTTACTCTCGCGACTCCTGCCCCACTAGTTTCATTCCTCACAGGTCTCTGTTCCACAATAGGTCCCGGCTGGACCGAGACAGTATAGATTTAGCTTCAGTGTCAAAATTCGAGTGTTTGTAGGTGTGTGGGAGGTGTTTGAGTTAATATCAGGGTTTTCAATTCAATTCCATTGTTCTACCTGTCTACTTTTGTGGCAATACCAAGATATTTTCAGGACTATAGCTCTATAATAGAATCATGGATGGGATGGTGGCACCTCCAGATGTTCCTTGATTGCACCATGTTATTTTGGCTATCCTGGGTCTTTTGTTTTTCCATATAAAGTTGATTGCTTTCAGGGTCTGTGAATAATTGTGCCATTATTTTGAAGGGGATTGCATTGAATCTATAGATTGCTTTTGGCATGATTGCCATTTTTTCTATGTTGATCCTACCTAACCATAAGCATGGGATATCTTTCCATTTTCTGGTATCTTCCTTAATTTCTTTCTTTAAAGATTCAAAGTTCTTGCTATACAGGTGTTTCACTTGTTTGGTTCGCATTATCCCAAAATATTTTATGTTGTTTGGGGCTATTGTAACTGGTGATATTTTTCTGATTTCTTTCTCAACCCATTTATCATCTTATATAATAGGCCTACTTGTTTTTTGAGCTAAACTTGTATCTTTCCAGTTTGGTGAAGGTGTATAACAGCTGTTGGAGATTTTCATGTCACTTTTGTAAACTATCATATCATCTGTAAATAGTGAAAGTTTGACTTTTCCCTTTCCAATTTGTATCTCCTTGATCTCCTTTTGTTGTCTTGTTGCTCTAGCTAGAACTTCAAGTACAATATTGAAGATGTATGGAGAATGGACTGAGAGACACTAAAGAAAGTGCTCAGCATCCTTAGACATTTGGGAAATGCAAATCAAAATAACTCTGAGATGCCATCTCACTCCTGTCAGAATGGCTAAATTCAAAAACACACCAATGACAGTTTATGCTGGAGAGGATGTGGAGAAAGAGGAATACTCCTTCACTGCTGGTGGGAGAGTCAACTCGTACAAGCACTTTAGAAATCAGTGTGGAAATTCCTCAGGGAAGTGTGAGTCAGGCTACCACAAGGTCCAGCAATTCCACTTTTAGGCATATATCCAAATGATGTGCATTCATACAACAAGGACATCTGTTCCACTATATTCATGACAGCATTATTTGTAATAACCAGAACCTGGAAGCAGCCTAGATGCCCCTCAACTGAAGAGTGGATAGAGAAAACGTGGTACAGTTAAACAATGGAGTATTACTCAGTAGAAAAAAAACAATGGACAATTGAAATTTGCAGGCAAATGGATGGCACTAGAAGAAACTATTCTGAGCAAGGTAACCCAGTCACAAAAAGACAAACATGGCCTGGCGGTGGTGGCGCACGCCTTTAATCCCAGCACTCGGGAGGCAGAGGCAGGTGGATCTCTGTGAATTCGAGGCCGGGATGGACTGACAGCCTCCAAATAAATACAGAGAAACCCTGTCTCATAAAACCAAAAAAAAAAAAAAAAGACAAACATGGTATGTACTCACTCATATATGGGTTTTAGGCATGAAGCAGGGGAGTTCCAGCACAATCACTAAAATACATCTGCTGTTCCAATCATTGCTTTGGGGCACTAAAATTTTACAGCAATATGAAAGAGAAAGATGCTCTACCCCATATTCTAAGGTTCCCGTAATTAAATTAGGGGTAGATCCAAACAAGCTCTACAAAATACCTTTAAGCAAAAAACAAATATGGAATTTGACTTGAAGATAGCTATTAAGAATACAATCACAAGTATTAAAAGAGACATGAACAATTCTGTTACTGAAATCTATGAAGACATAAACAGTGAATAAAAATGCAGAAAACAGTTCAATAAATATAAGTAGAAAAAATTCACTAAAAATAAAAATCTTTAATGTAAAAACTTCCAGGGATAAGGGCCACTATGTTAAGGCTAAATCTTCAAATAGTAGGCGTACAGGAAAGAAAAGACAGCCAGATGAAAGGCACAGAGAATAGTTTCATTAAAAATGTAGAAGAAAATTTCCCTAAGGTAAAAAAATACTGGTGTCTGCAACAGCACAAGAAGCAAACAGAACATCAAATAAACTGGACCAGAAAAAAAAATCTACTCAGCACCCAGTAATCAAAACACTAAATGTACAGAACAAGAAAAGAATATTAAAGATGGAAGGTAAAAACAAAAATTTGCATACAAAATAAGTCCTATTACAAGACACCAAGAGAGTCCCACAGCTAGACCTTTTGTGGAGAGAGAGTCTACAATGTAGCTCACTCTACTTAGAACAAGGGGAATCACATGTAAGATGGGGTAGAAATGTTGTAGGTATCAGAGGAGATGGAGGATGCTAGAAAAACATACTGGCCCCACTGAATCAGCTAAGCAGGACAGGAAGCTTATGGACACCCAGAGAATAAAAAGGCAAGCCCAGGGTTTGAATGTGTCTACACCAGGTCCTCTGGGTATGTATTGTGGCTGTTAACTTGGTGTTGTTTTGGGAATCCTAACTGTGAGATCTGATATGTCTATGACTCTTTTCTTGCTCTTAGGACTCTTTACCTCCTCTTCAGTATCCTTGTCCAGCTTCCATGTGAAGGCTTTTGCTTGCATTATTGTATTTTGTTTTGCTGTATTTGGTTCCTGTATTTTGGAGGCCTGTTCTTTTTTAATCGATGATGGAATGGAAGTGGATCATGGGGAAGTGTTGATGTGAGGAAGGTGGGGAGAACAGAGGAAAGGGAAAATTGTTGGGATGGATTGCATGAGAGAAGAATCTGTTTTCAAAAATATAACTGCTATAGGTTTAACAGCTCATGAAATATTTATCCATATATTCTTACTATAGAAAGTGAGCATTAAAATCTTAGTTGTATCCATATAGATTATCTTTCTAGACCTTCTTTAAAATAAAACTGGATACTTACCTTTTACAATTATGGTAAACAAGGAAGAAAAAAAGTATCTTTCTAGTAAAAAGCCAAAAAAAAGGTTTTAAAATGGGTAAGACCAATAGATCTGATGTTCTTCATACTAGTAATTTAGTAATTTAAGAACATACCTGAAAACTCCAGAGAAATAAAGAGAAATAACGTTCAAGAGGAAAGATAGTAAGAAATAATCAAACTCTGGACTCAAATGACAAAAAAAATACAAAGAGTCAATGTAACAAAGAGTTGATTCTTTGAGCAAATCAATAAGATTGACTAAAACTCTTATTCAAATTACCTAAGAGGCAGAGAGACAAAATCCAAATCAATAAAATTAGAGGAGAAAAGCTAATTTAAACAATAAACACTAGGTAAGTCAAGAGAAAAATAATAATCATAAAGCAGACAGAAAATAACTCAATTTTATTACAGAGACTCAATAAGTTGATTCATTTTAAATATCATGAAATCAGTGTTTTAAGTAAACATTCTCATCCTCTTCTCTTAAGTTCATACTTCCTCTATCATATTCCCTGCATTGCTGGCATTTGTCAGTAATTAACATTCATTGTGAATTTCCTTCAGTGAAATTAATAAAACACATCTTTGACTGTAATAATTAATCAAACAGATATAAAACTTAAAAGCATTCAGCAAATATAATGTTAATTTAAGAATTAAAAGAAAAAAGTAGGTATATTAAGAACTCATTCAGACATTTACATAAAATATAACTGCAAATTCTGAGATATTGTCAGTCATATTTGAGACAATTTTAAAAAGCATATGAACTATGTGAATATATAATTAGTACACTTACTTATAACTTTAAGTCATTATATATTTCATAATTTATTAAATTATTATGTTGTGAATTCATTCATTATTGTTTAGGGAAATTTAGTAGTTTATTATTACTGATTTATATAGATATAAATTGCTAGTACACTGATGTCTGGAACATGTATAAATAAATGATGCAGAGGCTAATACTGGGGTTAAAACTTCAATCTAAATATCAGAAAAGCAAAGAAGCCAGCCACTAGCTCTTACCTCTAGCTCAGGCTGAAAGTGCTGTTCCATTCATGAGGTCTTCACCAAGTCTCAAACCCTGCCTCTCCTCAGTGTGACCTTGCTTCTGTCTTATATACTTCCCCAGTGTTGGGATTAAAGGTGTGAGCTATAATTCTCTTTTGGACTAATTTACTCTTGTATAGATCAGGGTGGTCTTGAACTCACAAAGATCCATATATGTCTTAATCCTGAGTGCTAGGATTAATGGTGTATTTCACCACCTTGTAGCTTCTGGCTGCTGTGATTAAAGGTCTGTGCCTGGCTTCCATGACTATTGGTTGACTTTGGTTTCAGAATCCTCAGTCGAACTTTAGTAAATCATATCACTACAGGTGTGTTTTGTCAAAGATATCAGTCACCCTTACTTGTATTTCTCAGATTTCACATAGTTTATAGTATAGAAAATATACTTCAATATTTTTAATGTAATGTGGAAAAATCAACATTATCAACATGATATAATATGAGCTTTGAATACATTTGCTAAAGAATTCCATTCATTTATGACACATTCGTTAACCAAGATTTAATGAGTAGGAACAGAATTATTATATATGTAAAAGTTATCAACATAAAGTGAGAAGTGGTGCTTTGCAGCCTATCTCATATTTTTATTGCTTAAGATCTCTGGTTTTGCTTTCAATTCTTCTTCAGGGGAGATAGATGACCTACAAAAAGAATTCCTTTGCATTGTTTAAGTGTTGAATGCAAACATTGCACTCCCTACAAAGCACTGCCTTGCAACATAATCTGAAGTTTCCCCCTGGTTTTCCCCTTCACAGAATGGATATTAGGTACACTTGTTGAAACACAACTTCTCAGTGACAATCTTCCTCAACTTGCTCACACAGGCCCTAAACATTTTCCCAGATTATTCTATTTTTCAAAATTCTACTTTCAACTTTCTTGATCTATTCAAC